ATAAAAATTTTACACTTATTCAAAGTCAAGTAAGACAAATTTTCTCGCTATTTTCCCTCATGTCCAATATATATACTCGGCAATTATGTTTACCTTAATAAATGTCATTATTTTGCGTCATAAGTGTACATAGACCCTTTTAGAATAACTTAATTGCATAATTATCGTTTGAAAAATTAATATAAACGTAATTCCCGAATTCTCCCGATTTTGACCATGTATATTCCCGAATTTGGATGTTTTTACTCCCGAAAAATCTCGTCTTTAGATATGTGTGTCTACTCACTCACCACTGCTCCAGCAGTGCTTTAGTATAGGTCTACATGTATTGCATAAGGCTCTAAAGGTCTCGCCTCGCCTTTAGCTTGTGCATTAATGTATAAACGGTATTTCGATAGTAAGTGTACATTAAATGTGTTTAAGGTGGTCTTTCAAAATTTATATTTTAAAAATATTATTAATGCAATTCATTAATATGAAGCAAATTCACATGCATATTAAGGTATATAAGTACAATAGGCAAGTAAAGTTTTAGATACATGATCATTGATCAAACTTTATTTTAGTGACATTTAATTTAATTAATATTATTCAGTAAATATTTAACATAGAATTCACAAAATGTGGTCTTTTTTAATGCAATTATTGGCAATAATACCAATGTATTTACAATACCTATTCTATTTAGTGGCCGCCATTTTTATCACGTTTCAGTATTTGTAAGTATTTTATTTTATATTTCATGTTACATATAGGCTGGCCAACTGTCCACTATTTGAGTGGACAGTCCACTATTTTGGGTTTCTGTCCACTAAGAATTGAGATCAAATAATGGACATTGAATTACCCAATATTCGATTTTAAGAAATTAAAAATAATTTTGATAAAAACATCAAAAATAATAATTAAATAAGGTTATTTTCTTATTAAAAATAATTTTTTATTAGTAGGCTCTAATAATGTTCACATTTTAGTGTACATAATAATCGTTATTTAAAAATACATTCATTTATACACTAATTTAGAAGCTAAGATTGACTTAAAAATAGAGCCAAAAATATGTCCACTATTTTTACTATATTTACGATCAAAATATAGCAATTGTCCACTATTGAAAATTTTTGAGTTGGCCAGCCTAAGAGTATGTAGGCTGGCCAACGCAAAAATTTTCAATAGTGGACAATTGCTATATTTTGCTCGAAAAATAGTGGACATATTTTTGGCTCTCTATTTAGGTCAATTTTAGCTTCAAAACTAGTTGATATGTATTTATAAATAACGATATATTTCATTATGTACAATAATATGTAAACATTAAAAGTATCTACTAATAATACATTATTTCATTTTTAATAAGAAAATAACCCTATTTAATAACAATTTTTGTTGTTTTTATCAAAATTATTTTAAATTTCTTAAAGTCGAATATTGGACAATTCAATGTCAACTATTTGGTCTTGATTCTTAGTGGACAGAAACCCAAAATAGTGGACTGTCTACTCAAATAGTGGACAGTTGGCCAGCCTAAGAGTATGTAGAGTATTAATAGATTTAATTAATAAACTAACCATCATTAATGCTAATGTTGGGTATAAATTATAGGAAATATAATCGTTTACATAATTACTGGAAAGACCGCAATATCTCGGGTCCAAAAGCCATACCATATTTTGGCAATTCTTTGAGTCTATTTCTAACGCCGAAGCCATATATTGAGAGGCAGTGGTATAACAGTTACGGCCGACTCTACGGGTAATCATACTTTAATTAACAACATATAGTACTTTATAAATAATATAAATATTAACCAATATATAATTGGTTGCATCGCGTAGTCATTACGAGTTGGGAAAGCGGACGTTAACAGTGGCGGACCCGGAGCTCATCAAACAGATTCTGGTGAAGGAATTCGACAAATTCCGGAACCGATTGTCGAAAGAGAGCCGTAAAATAGCGCCAAATATGCCGAAACATCTCTTCAACTCCAACGACGACGAGTGGAAACGACTCCGACTTATAGTGAGCCCCGCATTCACTTCCGGCAAATTGAAACGCCTGTACCCACTCTAGTGAGGAGGGGGAGGGGGAGGGGGAGGGGGACGACGAATTGGAGAGAGTGGACACCAATGGCCACACTATGACAGCGGGTGCGGACACCGACGCCTCCCGTCTCGTGCCTAATAGCAAAGTCAATGAGTCGACGGCAGGGAAACGGATCTCAAGTGATGTCTTGAATAAGAAGTTGACTGAGAAGGAGATTGTGGATCAGTGCAGCGCATTCCTCATCGGCGGCTTAACCTCCCAGTTGTCTACTCTGTCGTACTGTACGTACGAATTGGCCGTCAATTCCGACATTCAGGACCGGTTGGTGGCGGAGACCAGAGAGGCGTTCAATGAACACAACGGAGACATAGACTACGACACCCTTTGCGGACTCCCACTCCTGGACGCCGTTATATCGGAAACTCTGCGCAAATATCCGGCAGACGTGCGGCTGAAGAGAGTGGCGGAGGAGGACGTAGTGCTGAGCGCTGGTAGTGGCGACGGATCGACGCTTCGCATCGAAAAGGGAGTAATGGTTGAGATCCCGGTGTATGCCATACAACACGACCCGGACTACTATCCCGACCCGTTTGCCTTCAGACCCGACCGATTTATGCGCCCAAATGTTGCTAACATCACACCCTATACACACTTCCCATTCGGGTCGGGACCCCGTCAGTGCGTTGCTATGCGTTTTGCATTGGTTCAGGTGAAACTACTGGTGGCCAAAATGTTACAACAATTCCGCTTTTATGCGGTGCCCGACACCGATATACCCCTTGTTTTCATTCCACATCCCTTTCAATTAAAAGCCAAGCGAATTGTGGTGGGTGTTAAAAATCGTTAGGTTAACATTATTCACAATTTGTTCGTGGTATATGTAATGTATAATTTTTAATAAATGTGATTAGCTTTGGGATAAAATGTAAACTATGCAATGATAAGTTATTTTTAAATAAGTTATTTAACTGTTGTAATGAATTATTTCAATTGTTATTAATAATATTAATAATAACAATTGGAATAATCTATTGTAGCATTTAAATGTCTATTTAAATTGTATTGTATTTTTAATTTATGTTTAAATGTATGTTTAAATATATTGTATGTATTTTACGAGAGGTTTTTTACAGAGGTTTCTAATCTCTGTTTTCCTCTGAAAAAAATAAAAAAAACTATTGAAAAATAACAAAAAAAAATTCATTTGTTTCTTACATAAAACATAAATTTGTATTTTATATACATTACAGTTCTCTAAACTTTTAGAATTTAAAAGTATTTACTTCATTAAATTAGTATTAATACAATTACATCAAATTCAAACTAAATTATATAATTTAATTAAAAATTTTAATAAATTATATATAAAATAGAAATCATATTTGGATTTTATGTAAATAATCTACAGTAATATGAAGTAAATTTCCACATAAATGATCATAGCTATTTAACTCGTTTAATTTTTACAACTAGACCAATGTAAATTAAAATTAAAAATAACAAAATAAAAACTAATAATATGAGCGTTCACTTTGTGATAGGATTTGTAACTTTCTAAATAACTAGCTTAAAGGCCCGTTTAAAACTGGCGCTCAATGAGAATGACCCTATCGTAACCCACTATCCCTCTGCCCCGCATAGCGGATACGCCACATATACTTTAAACATACTACGCGACTGTAACATTAGGAACCACAAGTGCCAAAAAGCGTGACATTGACTCTCGTGACATGAATGAATGTGAAATTCATTGCATATCACTTAATTAGAGATGTACTATAGTAGAGGTATACCAAAAAATGTTTGTTTATGTAATATATCAGATTAGTACTGCTGGACTATATTTAACAACTATATAAAACATATTTAACGCAATTTTATCTTTAATTTTAATTCACTTAATTTAATAATTAATTTAGACGTATTTTAATGTGGTTCATTATAAGTATTTTTTCTATAAACATTAATATTAACAACAAAGATTGAACAGAATTTTAAGTTAATGTGAAAAATCAACGCAAAATATGTGTCATTGGAATTTTCCTTATTAAATTAAAGGGAATTTTGTCAAAAGTACTTTTATCGATACCGAGACCTGGTCAGCTTACTCAACATTAGCGTTGCCAAAGAGTATTTTGAAAATCCTATTTAAAAATGAGAAAATTGCAAAATAATTCTGTATTTTTTAATGTAAAATTTCTTCCTGTGTTCTGTAAAAATTCCTGTATAGTTGGCAACGCTACTCATTATTTGAAACAAATTTACGGAAATTTAGGCAAAATTAGCACTCTTTATGAAAAACTAGCAAACATTTTAAAATACAAATTAATTAACAATGTTCATTTAACATTAATGTATTAAAACTAATCAATACTAATCAATATATTTGCGAGGATTTTGAACAAAATCCTCAATAAGTTGTGACACTTTTGCCAAACTATTATCGGTTTGTATTCTTCGGGAGACTTCGGCCAAGCGTTCAGTCATTGCCTTATCGTTGAGCAGAGTCTCAATCGCGGCCAACAGCTCCTCCTCCGAGCACTTGTATGCGTCCAGTCGTAGACCAAAACCCTTGTCGTGCAGTCTCTGCGCGTTATCGTACTGTTCGGTAAATACAGGCATAGCTATCATCGGTCGGCCGAAGTATAGGCTTTCGGTCACTGTATTTAAGCCGCCGTGAGTTATGACCAGATCTACGAGCGGTAGGATTGATAACTGCGGCACAGACTCTGCGCCCCACATATTGTCGGCCAGAGTGTACTCCTTATGCTTCGGACCCATCGATACGATGAACCGATGCGGAGATTTGGCCAAAATGGCGACCAATCGGCGCATGTTTTGCACGTCGACCGGACAGACAGAGCCTAACGAAAAGTAGACCAACTTTCCGGGCTTTGCGGCCAACTCTGGCGGCACAGCGAATGTCACGTGACGTGCGGTACCCTTAAAGTTATTAAAGCGGACATAATTGCGTCCCAACGGCCGGATGTCCTGATAGTCCAACTCCAAGGGATAGCCGTATATATGAAGATAACGCGACGGGTTATAAAAGCAGAGTTCGGGCAGTGGTTCGCAGCCCCGGCCGACCACCCAATCGTTAAACGGCCGCCACTTCTCTTGATTCACGTCTCTAACCAATTGGCGAAACTCGTGCCACATTCTCGGGTCTCCCGTAGCGGACAGTCCTATAAATGTTACTCTTGATGATAATTTGATGTGATTTATAATATTGTTCTGAATGATATGTTTATGTATCATGCTAATCCTGTGACAATAATTATTTTATAGACCATGTTGAATCTATTAGACATGTGAACTCTATTGAATTAAAGCTAAATCTATGGCATGTTTGTTGTACTCATTAAATCAATGCAAATCTACTCTAATCTTATTACCGGAATAGTAGTTAACATATAGCAGAGCTGTTTGATCCTTGTTCACGCATAAACCTCGCTCATGGGCTAACAAACCTGATTCACCCGGCGGTGTCCTCTCATCGTCGAGCATCACGAGAGGGCCAACGCTCCAACACCACACACACGGTATGCCCGACAACACCACCGATGGCAGTGTCCACACCTGGTCCACAACTATGACATCGGGCCGAATGGCGGGTAACACAGCGGCCAACTGTGTGTCCATATTCTGGGCGTGTTTTGTCCAAAACTCTGCGTGACCTGACGCGAGTCGCACCTTCTCTATGGGCGACGCGCCGCCAATGATACCCAACGACATCAACCGTTGCGCCCCATCATCGGTGACGTTACGATTGGCCAACTCTACCGTTTCGATGCCATAAGCGGCCAGTTTTGGCCGCCAAACGTCGTTCGCCGTAAACACCGCGCGGTGTCCGTCGGCTACCAATTGGGTCGCAATAGCGATACAGGGATTGATGTGACCGTCGCCGAGGATCGGCACAAATAACACTTTGAGCGGCATTTTATATGTCATTGTTTTTAATACAATTATTTTGTCTCAAACACAACCGTTTGTCTTACATCCAGACCTTATATATAAAGATATATTTACATATATTTTTTAAAAATATATTTACATACAATTATGCCAATCACTATCCTATGACCAGAGTCCGGGATTTAAGGCTGTATCTTCACAGCAAACGCTTCTTCATATAAATTGTTAACTCATGTGTTGACCACATTTTAAGTATTGGCACATTTTCAAATCCGCGTCCAATAGCATTACATTCATGTGATCATTCATCTTTTAAATTACCTTTTTCAATGCTATAAGCTATAGACGCGTGATCTGCAAATTGGCCAGTACTTGAACTTCTCTGGCCATTCGCTGATTTTGACAATGGATTAAACATCTGGTGACAATTCTGCACATTTTCATACCAACATCAATAAGGTCGGCAATTTCCACCCCAGATATTTCCCCCTCAATAATAATTACTGGGAATGATATTTCAATAAATAATTATATAATATAAAATCCATAGCCTTAATAAAATCTAAAGTAATTTAACTGTTGTATTGAATTATTTCAATTGTTATTAATAATATTGAAATAATCCATTGTAACATTTAAATGTCAATTTAAATATAATTGTATTTTTAATTTTTGTGTCAACTATAGAGTACCCAAAGAAATTTGCCCTAAAGTGGTCGGTCCCGCCCTCTGCTATACTTAAGAGCCCGAACACAATATACAATAGTTTGTACAGTTTAAGGCGTAACCATAGCATCGTGTTTTATTTGGGACAATTTCTTTGGATACATTACAGTAAAATAATTACATAAATGTATATTGTATTTCACCAAAGGTTTTTACAAAGGTCTAACCTTTGTTTTCTTCTAAAAAATGAAAAAATTTTAGAAAAATAACAAAAATATAATTTATGTTACATTAGTTCTCTAAACTTTTAGAAGTTAAAATAATTTACTTTATTAAATCAGTATTAATACAATTACATCAAATCTAAACAAAATTATATAATTTAATTAATATTTTAATAAGGTAAATATTTTAATAGATTACATATAAAATAAAAATTATCCAAATTAATCCAAATTCAAAATCAATAACTAACATAAATAAAATAATTTATATATTGGATAACCGATTTAATTTAATTACAATTGGCTGCATTTAATATATACCAAAAGCATCTGAGTATTGCCTAATTTGTGATAACTACTCATCAATATTTCTGTTTGTTTGATGACAGCCAACAATTCAATATTCAAGCTTTAATTATGTAATATAAAGGTATAATTAGGCACGTGTTTAGTGAACACAAGATACAGTAATTGTAAAGCTTTATATTTGAAAATTTGAATATAATATTAAAATATAATGTAAGTAAATAATTTAGTTTGAAGTAAATTTCCACATAAATGATTATAGCTATTTAACTCGTTTAATTTTTACAACTAGACCAATGTAAATTAAAATTAAAAATAACACAATAAAAACTAATAATATGATTGGATCCCAATAAATGTTGCTGACGGCAAATCCCTGAGATATGATCACGCTCGTCCCATTCTTATAACATTGACCCATTGATTGGCTATCATTCAAACATGGTATATAATCAATATATCGCCATTGGTTTACCATAAGTGTCTCATAGGTGTAGTGAAGGAATGATGTGTACTTAAGCCAACTTAACCATCCGGGTAATTCTCTGGCAGATGATAATTTTATAAATAATTTCAATTCAATCCATAAATTACAGTTAGTCCTTAGTATAAGGGACCCATTGGGGTCAAAATTAAGCCCCTTGTATCTATATAGTAGTTTCACACTTATATCAAAATCTTCGATATAGAGGGTAAACTGTAGTAAATTTCATTTACAATTAAATATAATAAAAGTATAAAGTAAAAACAAACCCTGAATTTATAAATAGACCAGCAAACATCTCAACGATCACGGTAAAGGGAATAACTAACACCATGGCCATTTCCGGGGTAGATGAAATTGACGATATAAAACAACCTAATCAAATTATTGAATTACAAATTATTTGTTTTTAATTTGAAATAGCGTTACAGTATAACTAATAATAAACTATCGCTTTGGTATATTAAAATGGCAGTTAATGTAATTGATTATATTCGGTAATTGTAATAATAATTATTATTGGTTACAATTTATACAGCATAAGTGTCTAAATGGTTATAATAAACAAGGTTTGCATTCAATGATTAGCCTTAATAACACTCCGGAAGAATTTCCCAAAATTTTCAATGCTATCGTTAGGATACTTTTAAGTTGAGTTTTACTGTTAGGGTTGTTTCAAACATCTAAATGGAAAGGCATAATTCAATTGAAATAACATTACTCCCATATACTTAACATTATCACGTTAGAATTCGCATTGCCATAGACTTAACATTGTCCATGTTAAGCTTATGCCATAGACTTATGCTAAGATTATAAGCACATTCACAATCATATGAGGGACTGAGACGTGAAAAGACAATCACTTTTAGTGTTGAACTTATGCTATAAGCTGTAATCAATGCAGACTTTTTGAATGTAGAAGTTTTACATTTACTTTTATTATTAGTTAGTTAACAATTAATTTGATTGTCAATAAAATTATAATTGTATACTTTAAACTTTGTAATAAATACAGTGCTTAGATGTAATTGTTATAACTAATAATTTAATTGATAAAAATCAGTGTTATATTTCATAGATTTATGCACTGCTATAGCAAATACAATAGACCGGCATATTGTCAATACACCCTCAGTAAACACAACACAAACCGATTGTCTTTTCACGTCTCAGTCCCTCATATGGAAGGGACCCCATGTTGTAGCCCATGTTAGGGCCACGCGATTAATTTGGAATCCAAACTACAGTATTTGTAGGTTGGGGAAGGTGAGTGTAACTGCACAATCTTATAAATTACATTCTTCATATACAGTATGAATTGTGGTTAAAAGAGACTAGCAATATACCCCCGACTATAGATGTTATAATTGATAATACGTTTGTGGCCAAACAAATAGCAAACGCCATAGGTTCATCATTTAAGCCCATCATGAAATACACGATCGCAATATAAACCACACAAAATGTGCTTGTATATAATATCTAAAGTGATAAAATATAAAATGTAACTTAAGCCCTAGGTTTATAATATTTATAAATAATTAATAATTTAAAGCAATTGTTGATCTATGTAATTTATACTCAAAACTGACCATGTTTACAATTATAAATAAAATATATAAATTAATGTTATATAATTATATAATTTACCTTAATAAGGATTTTTGACAATAAATATGGTCCCAATGAATACATGCCATTATAATATTCACGGAAAAACATTGACATTTCAGTACAGAATATCTGTAAATATAATTTAATGTATATTTATATAATTTAATGTAACATTATTATTACAAATTATTAATACTGTATAACAATTTATTATATTGCATATTATATTATTTCATATCATATCATATTATATATATTAATACATATGGAAAATTTTACTAAATTATGTCAGATTACTGTATATACTTCTAAATAATTGCATGCAATTATGTTAAGAATATTAAAACAATAAACTTAAAAAGAAAGATATTTTTAGTTAGTATTAAATTGATTTAAAAATCAAGACTATTTAATCATGGGGTATATTGTAAACACCCTGTGTCTGCACATTAATGGATTCTAATAGTTGTACAAAAAATTATATGTCACGGTAAATATTATTTACACTTATAGATGAAAATACAGCACTCATTGAGTTTTGAAGTAGGATCATGAATAGGCCCGCATTAATATTGCTCACATCAGACGATATTGGATACTGTTTATGGTATACCGAGCCTATAAATAGCGCGTAAGCCTAATTTTGGTAATCAATAGACAATAGTTAATATATTATAATAATTTGAAAAATACATAAACAGCATGCTACAATATATACTAAAAATATAACGTACCAGAAATTGTACAAGTTCGGTTTTAATAAACATCGTATCTCTTATTAATATTAAATAGTTTCGCATTAGCAGAGTGGTCAATTGTTGCCATGGGCTAGAGCCAAACTGTTGATTGGCGTGTGGTGATTTGTTCCCGTATTGTGACGGCTGATGTTTAGATTGGTCAATTTTACATAATAAATCGGTCATGTATTCCGAGGCCATGTATTTATCGCATATTCCCTATTAATAATTAATAATAATCTTAAACAAGGATATAAATTTATATAGGTTAAGCACACAACAAATAAAACTAGTTGAAAAATTGTGATTTAAATTTTTTAAATTTCAATTAATAGTTGACAAGTTTTTCAATAATATTATTGTGAAATTCATTATTGCGTTAATCAAAAATAGATTTATAATTACTTGATCGCAATCACTTACCGTATATTTATATTTATAAATAAATTGTACATTTATAACCAGAAGAGTGGTGTGATAGATTGGGGGGAATTTTATAATGACGTGGTTATTGATTCACCAAGATATTAATAGTATTAATATACAGTAATGCACAGTAGTATTAATGTATAGTACCAATATATGAATAGTACATAAATTACAAAGCAGTGGTTCAATGCTAGGTGCCATCAGGTATCAAAATATCTCTGTGTAGTTTATAACAGTTTTAAATCATTGTCACATTACTTACGTTAACCCTTTCTTTTGAACCTGAGTTCGATGTGAGAGCTGTTTGAAAATAAAAATATATAACTATTATGTAACTATATAGTTATTTAAATTAATATCTTTGATCAAGGTTAACAATTAAGAATTCGATTAAAACATAATGCTAACCCAATTGGTTCATATAATAATCGCTCGGATTTTGGTTAATAGAACACAACTAATTAAATACAAATTTTACAATTATTACTATTTGATCATGCCATTTAATTTTTTAATACTCACATAACCAATAGAAGAAAAGAAATCCTTTGCATTATCTTTGGTAATTAAACAATAATTATATTTTATAAATATTGAATATTATTAATAAATATTATAATAATAAGAGTGAGTGAGTGAGTGAGTGAGTGAGTGAGTGAGAGAGAGAGAGAGAGAGAGANAGTTAAAAATTTACAATAATAAACTTAAATGTTGTTAATTATTATAGTGAATTAAAATTCTATCATGAAAGTTGTATTGGAGATTGTATACATAACCCTAACCCCTGGTGCCCATGAAAGCGAGCCTTCCGTTAGTCATAAGTAATAAGTGATCGAAAAGTGCGAACACTTGAGACGACGGCTGATGTATTGTACAGACAATAGTCCGGCCCTCAGAAGCCATATATTTCAATAGCCGTACAATACTTTCGGCCATAAATGAGTCCAAACCACTCGTCGGCTCATCGCTTAAGTTATGAATTCATTAATTTAAAATATTTTCAAAATTTTAAACAAACAAAAAAATAATAGTTATTCGTATTACCAGAATATTATCGAAGGATTTGTTAAAATCTAAAATTATGTTTTATAAAAGAAATTTATTTAAAACATTTACATTATATTAAATTCTATATTGGTAATAATCTATCATGATTATTATTGTTTTTGTAAAACACAAACCTCTGTTGCAAATGACAAGCGTTTCATTTCGCCACCAGAAATGCCCTTAAATGTTGACTCACTGCCAATCCTGTTGTCCGCACATTTTATCATGTTTAACTAAATTCAAATTTTTATTAAATTAAATTATCAATTATTTTAATCTTGCATAATCTACAAATTTACAACAGATTCACCAAATCTACATTAATTTTAAATAATTATAAATAGCTTAAATGCAAAATTTAAGCATAACAGATACTGTACTAACCTTGTTAATAACATTTTCAACTAGTTCGGCTCTCTCAGCATATGTCAGTTTTCCACCCAAACGTAAAGTAGCCTTAATTAAGCAATTAAACAAATACAGGTCACTATTGCTAACCATTCGCACAAATGCCTTACAAGACATTTAACTTATGAAATACCTGAAACATGAGATGTTCTCTAACGGTAAGCAACGGATAAAACATTTCGTTTTGTTGGATATACGATGATATATAGGGCGGAGTCCGTCCCCTAAGCCGTCCATTTAACAGCACATCTCCGGTGACTGACATTTTGCTCAAATTTCTACCTGTGAGCGAATTCAACAAGGTTGTCTTGCCGGCACCACTTTAATTAAGTAAGTAATAAATTTTTAATTTAATTCTATTAATTACAAAATTTTCATTTCATTAATGTATTTAATAATTATTAATTTATCATTATTATTATTCATGTTAAAAATAACTCATAATATTAATTTACCTAGGGCCCATGATTGCCAATAATTGACCAGGCATTACAATGCCCGATACTATGTAAGAAACATTTATATTAAAATATTGCATAATATTTGACATGTATTAAAATAAAGTTAGAGATTGATTCATAAATCATGAATCATAATTCATTAAAAATAATTTAAAGTATATACAACGTTTAATAATATAAAATTAATTACCATTTTGAATTATCTCTTTGGGTAAACTGTCATTCTTATAACAATTATATATTGACTTTTTACATTTTGTAAATACAGTTAAATTGTGCCATGATAACGTGACCTGTTCCAATTTGCTATTACTGGTGGCCGCACCAGGAGGGTTAATCTCCAATACAACTTTCATGATAGAATTTTAATTCACTATAATAATTAACAACATTTAAGTTTATTATTGTAAATTTTTAACTACTTCTTTCTGCAATTCATTACTACATGACGTAAAACTTTAAATAATAACTTGGAATCTATGCCTAGATCTTATCTTATCACCCTCTCTATAAGAATCATTTTTGCTGTGCAACTGATTGTTTCTTATAGAGAGTTTATACTGTATTGTGGAAAAAGGTAGTTTTACTTTGGTCACCAACATCCTTAACATAACAATTACCAAACATTTTTTCGTTGTAAACTTGATAATCATTTTAACTATAGTAAACAATTATTTGTCGGATCATGGTAAAAGGCTTTACAGTTACCTCATTAATTACTTTTAAAATAATTATCTATTTCTAAACTATGTCGACTTTATCTGTAACCTTTGTAACCGTTTAAAACTTAACACAAATTAATTGTTACATCTCATGAATTAATTAAGTATAAATATATGTGTCTATTCTAAAAATTACGCTTAACTAATAGACTTTCCACTAATCCATTCAATGTTTTATAATCATTATCAAAATTATAATAACCAAGTTATTTATTAGTATATTAGTTACCGGTATAATAGGTTAACATAATTAACTCTAGTATTTTAGTACTATAATAATATAATAATAAACGTCTGCTATAAGTACAGTAAAAGTAAAAGTATAGTATAGTAAAAGTTTGTTAGTTAACACCAGCGGCCAGATGTCCGCCGTCGGCCACCAGAGCCGTACCGGTCATGAATGAAGACCCGTCTGAAGCCAAATACAAGACCGCGTGTGCGATGTCTGACACATCGCCGCATCGGCCGACCGGATACAGTTTGGCCACACGATCGTAAAACTCCTGAGGCAGTTGCGTTTTGACAGTACCAGGACTAAGAATGAAATATTTTAGGAATACATTTTTTAAATAGAAAATGTAACTAGATCATGAAAATATTATCATAAATTATTTTATATAAAATAATTTTTTTAACTACATATAAATACACATGATGCTTTATACGCTGTTTAATGCTTTTAAAAGTATAATTAAAATAAAATGTAATACTTTATATCGGCCGATGAATGTCGTAAGATCGCCAGTGCGAGAGAGAGAGAGAGAGAGAGAGAGAGAGAGAGCAATTACTAAACTTGATAAATACTTACACAATACTATTAACGCGTATGCCTTTGGGTCCCAACTCTGCGGCAATACATTTGGTGAACGCATCCACCGCTGACTTTGACATACATATAGCAGATAACTTGGGTTTCTATTTGTAATTATAAAATTTATAAAACTATATTACTATTGATATATTATATAATTTATAGCCAAGTTAGTATACTATAATTGCATGTAATTATTGTATAGATAATATAATTTTGATAATATTAATTTTAATAAAATACTAGGACAACCCCCTAAATAATAACAACCCCCTGGACACCCCCCGTTATATAAACAACTTTATTAATTTAAATGAGTGAATCAATCTTATGAAAACAATGAATGTTATTTTATGTTATGGAATGCATACGTCACTTTTATGGGATTATTTTAATATATTATTAGGATTAAATAAACATAGATATTAATAAAACATACAATACATATGATATTTAAAAACACTTACGCTTTGAACGCTTCTAATGCTGGAAATGTTAATTACATTTCCTTTAGTTTTCTCCAAATGTTTGACACAAATATGGGTTAAGAAGACAACGGAATCCAAGTCTGTCTTAAATACCTGTCTGTAGTTATCCATGAAATCTGTTTCACCGATAGCTGTCATCAAACCGATGGCCGCGTTATTCACCACAACATCTATTTTGCCAAAATTAGTGATAGTTGTGTCGACCAGTCGTTGGAGATCCTCATCACTGGTCACGTCTGCCACCACTTCCAGCGCTTTCAAGCCATCGGGCGATACGTCGAGACACTGTTTGGCCACTTCTGACACTCGCCCGGCGTTACGTCCCGTCACCACAACATTGGCTCCCGATTTGGCAAACAGTATGGCTGTGGCCGCGCCGATGCCCGAACTCGACCCAGTGATCAGGGCCACTTTGCCGGTAAAGTTATAGTTGGTGGACATTTTTATATTAAACAATTTTATATCAAATATTATTGAGTTTATAGTAAATGTGTTTAAAAATTGTTCGTGTCACCTAACAGCTTTGTGTTTTATACACTATTCATATTGTAAGCGATATTTTTCAGTGTCATTATATTTTCTTGCTTACGTTAATAAAAATTTACCGTACATTAATATGAGTAGAACAATATTTAAATAATGCTAAACATGTATATTTATTTTTAAAAATATATATTTTATTTAAGACAAAATAATATGCTTTAGAAAACACCGAATAACATCTAAATCTTATAAAGACATAACAAATAAAATTATAGTGTACATAATTATTGATAGTTTTAATATATGGCAAATTGACAATTATGTTGTAATGTATACTACAGCGCATTGATTTTGGTCTAAACCCCCATTTCCTTGACAATCATGAAATTGGTTGACAACAGTAGATGTGTTTGCATTGAAAACACTATCATTAATAGCAACATAATGTCGAATATTATGGTCAAACTTTTAATTTATTGTGTAATACAAAATCAGCCCAAAAGTTAAAACCAAAAATACCATTGAAACCAAAAATAATATTTAAACCGAAAATACAATTTAAACCAACATGTTCAAACAAAGCTTGTTAAAATCTATTACAAATAATAATATGTTTGAATTTCCTAAACACTTATTTGTTTATTTTGTAAAATTTAAGTAAAAGATAATTTAAACGTTTTCTATTCGGTTTATATAATGCATAAACTCAAATTAAAATTAATTATAATTTAATAACAAGGTATTTACGTAGTTGCATTATAACAAGATAAATGTTTTGTAATTATATATAACATTCTATAATTTATTTACAGTATAGCAACTTAATAAAATAAGATTTAATAATTTTTGGAATAACCTTGTAAATATAAACCATAATTATAAAATGTATTCATTTGAATTTAATCGTGATTTGCATTTTTCATAATTATATTCAGACTTATAATTGTTAGAATTCTTTCTGTTTATAATACATTCAATAAAAATAAATAAAAATGATAATGTATAAGAAACGAATAACATGCTGAATATATTTTTCAGCACATCCACTAATTTCATGATTAAATGATCAGTATCATTTGTTGTTTGGGAAGTTACATCATCATGTTTAGCACGAGATTCATGTTTAGTAACAAAATAATGCATTTCTTGCTTATGTTGATGAAATCCGTTTTCTATAATCTGTTTTAGCCTAGGTACACGATAAATTAATAAATTTTTTACAGCATTAAAAATACTAAATTATTGTTTAAATAAAATTAAGCATCATTATTGCACGCATCCATCAATGCGATTGATTTATATAATCTACCATTTTTATCATTAAATTTTAATAACAAGTTTATAAGAAATGTAGAAATACTTACATAAACTTGATCTTTTTATAAAATATATTGTCTTTCGATACATAATTATACGAATAAATGAGATAATACTTATTGTCCGACACCTTGTAATCGATGTTATTTTGCAGACCAATCAACTCTTTGGCCATATAAGACGGTTTTCGTTTGGAGTCTATGACCACAACCGCCCGACCATTCATTAAATCCATGTTTACAATTTGTTGAAACCCATCCCTACCCACACTTAAGTGGTGAATGTTTGAACGTTTTTTATAACTATTAATTTTGCCATCCAGGTACTTTTGTTCAGGTATACTGTCCCCAAGTCGGCCAGCTATATCTATATTTGATTTGTTCGTTATGTGTTCTAATGTCTGAAAATACGGTACAGCTTTTTTTGCTGAATACATGTTAAGCAATGGAGCGGTGAATAACTTCGATATGATTAAAGCGTATAGTATTAAAAATGTACCGAATATTAGTATAACGTGTTTTCTAGTAATGAATCGCGATTTATTAATTACTTTCATATAGTTTACTATTATGGGGCTCGACTGTAACGTATATGACATTATGATAAAAGTAAAGCTATTGTATAAACTGATGCGGTTTCTGGTAATCATGTTCAATAGAAATCCAGTTATAATAAAGACAACACTTGCTGCTATCCATATCTATTTGACAAATTTAAGCTAGATTATTTTTAATAACAAAATAAGGCACACACAGCGATACTATGACTTAACCATCCAATAAACTACATTATTCGTGTAGAATTGTGGTTTAAAATGTACCTGGTGGTCGAAAACGTGGACAAAATTAAAATACGAGTAACTATTATGTATTGTAAGCCCAGATATAATCTCCACCACATATAAGGACTCGACGGCAATCACATCCAAGTGCTTTAAATTCAGATCAGCATATGTCCGCTCATTTAATGACACAGAATTGTCCTAGATGTTTATAAAAATTACTTGTTTTATAATCTAATAATTTAACATTTTTAAATAAATTACATACAATGTTTAACTCGCCCTTTTTGGTTATATTGACTAATAAATTTAAACGACATAATAAGTACTCGATAAATGCGATATAGTAACTGTCAATGAGGTCCTTTTATGGATAATTTTAAATGAATCAATCTTGTTTCAATTTAATCAATTTAAATGAATCAATATGGCAAAATGAGCTTACAACTTTTAACTGTAGAACTGTAGTCCCATTGGCTGACACATTATGAGCGCATTCATATAATTTATGATATCCCTGCATCCAATGGTAGGGAATTACACCAAAGTAATAATCAAAATTATCAAAGTGATTATACTCTGACATTCCGATAAGTTTAATAAGTTTATACTAATTGGCAAACTAATAGTAAAGCATTATTGTTGTGATAAATGTACAAATGACCATAATTTGGATTTATTTTTCTTATATGTTAGTTTTAATTTGTGTAATAGTTTTATACAATTGATAAAATGTAATATAAATGTATTTAATGTATTATTGCATTGATAAATAATATTAAATCAATTAATTAAATTAATAGATATAATTTAAATAATTGATTTTATTAAACAACACAATTTTTTGTAGTAACTATTTTACAAAGCTTATAAATCAATAAATTTATTTTGTTCAAATGATTGTTTTATTAATAATAAATTTATTTAATTAACTAAAATAATATTTTTCTCAGAATATGCATAAGTAATGGTTGAGTCAATGCTCATCTGCGGCTCGAGAGGGAATACTAGATTATAACTTATATGCCTATTAATTGGTAAAATTGTTTTATAAATATTTAAATATATTTATTATTAAAATGTATCAATTATTAAATAGTTTTATATTTATAACTTTTGATAACTATTTATATCAGTAGACATTTAATATTTTACATAATAATGATGTTCATTCGTCATAAAATTCTTTAAGTAATTCTATTATGTTATTCTACATATTAGAGATTTAGTACCACATTTATCTAAATTATATGCTCCATTGAATAACACATTATGCTAATTAGTAATACAATATCATGAAAACATTTTGCCATATTGCAATTTTCATAAAATTTATATTTATTATTAGCATATTTAATAGATGTTATTAAATTGTCGTTTTTATTATAGAATAATTATATTACCATAAAATTACTGGAAATTATTAAAAACATCATGAAAATATTTTAAAAGTATAAATGATATATAATTATATAAATATCTATACGATTAGTCTCTGCCCCTCTAATAAGTGTTCAATAAACAGTGATCAGGATCATTTTCAATGAAGTCAATCTGATAACAAACCCATGTCCACCACCAAGAAGTTTTAAAAATTGTTAAATTACAGCTTAATCTCAATAAAATAACTTTTAATGTATTAATTAAATATGTACAATTACAAAAATTTAATATAACTATATAACTTTAATATAATTATAATATCGAAATAATTTCTAACAACAAAACACACGCAGAAATAAAATACAAAATTAAAACGAGAATTAATATGTTTCTATATATTTCACCAAGGCCTATTGGCTTGTGTGACTGTGGCGTATAATCACCTAAATCGATTAGCATCGAGCCCCTTTCTCTCACTGTATTTTTTAACAACCAGTCCAATTTAATAAATTTTTGTTTATGAAAACCATTTTCCGTATATGAATTTAACCTAGATACAAATACTTTAGAATTTATGTTATATAAATTAAAAATAATCAGTTTATAAAAATAACTTACATCGATGTTATATTAGCCAAGTATTTATGACTCTTTGATATATAATTGAATGAATATTTAGGATAGTATTTATTCGAAGAAATATGGTAATTAACATCAAGTTGCAATTGATTTAGTATATTATTCACTATCAGAGGTAAATCAAGTGAATTTACCACGATCACTGCACGCCCAGTTAGCAAGTGCTTTATTACAGTCAGTAAAGAGTTTGCATAATTGTCATTAAAATTAATATTGTTATCGATATTGTATTTACGTGTCCTACGCGCTAGGTCATTTATATATATTGTGTGATTCAATATTGTATCATCAAAGTAAGAGCCACTAACACTTATATCGGTACTAATTATTTCATCTAGTGTGTCGATATATGGTATTAATTTAATGATTGTATACATGTTAAGTAATGGTGCAGTGAATGCGTTTTTCATGATTACTGAATATAATACTATAAATGCTATTATTATTAATTTAATTGATTTGAATTGTGTATTAAATCTATTAATACAATGTAAATAATTATTTAATACGGGACTCGATTGTGATGTATATATCGCTAGAATATATGTAAAACTATTATATAAACTAATATATTGTCCGCTTATTATAGATAATAATATTGTGGTTATTATGAAGAATATAATGAAACAAATCCAGATCTATATATAAAAATTTTAATCATTATTACTTAATTAATTTTCTATGTTTAATTTTATTAATAACTAGATTAAATAATTATAAATATTAACCTGGACATCAAAAACATAGATGAAACTGAAGTACAAGTAATTATTTTCTCGCTTTAATCCACTGATTATCACAACCATATATAGGGGCTCAACGGGTGTGAGCTTTATATCGGACATTGAGATATTAATAGCTGAGGTCTCGATTAGGGATACAGTGTTGTACTGACACAAAATAAATTACATTAACCACTTTTAATTGTGATTATAAAATTGATAAATGATACTTGCTGAATACCAACGCTTCCAATCACTTTAACAATGAGACCAAGGTGACATAATAAATATTCCATAAAACTTAAATAAAATAACCCAAACACCGGCTATTATATAACAATGCATTAATTAAAATATAAATAATACTTATTAATTAAAGCAAACTTACGTAGTTATATTGAAAATCAATATATCCATTGATTGAAACATTATGGTCACATTCATACGATTTATTCACTTCGGCCATTGCAAATGGAACTAGATCTTTATAGTTATCATAAACTAATTGCTCGTAGTTAGACATCTCGGGGTAGTTTTAAGTTGAATAATGCAATATTTTATTTCACATCAAATTACATCAAAACTTTCTTAAATCTTATGGTGAAAATAATGCTTATTTAAATAGTCTAGACTTGTTATTGTTATATTAAAATATTTTTAATTGTATTAATTTTATACCATTATAAATTAAACAGAAAAACAGTCTAGAAGCTTTTATTTAATTAAAATATGTAATTCCAAAACATATTATCAATTATATTGTTTATTACATCAATATTTTGAACCCCTTTAAAATACATTAACCTAATTATTAGTACTATTTGATAATGAATTTTAAAATTCATTTTTATTAAAACCTTGTTGCTTTACATTAATGATTTAAAATTTATAAAATATAATGCTTATAATTGAATTTATTTATTTATTAATATAAAATATAGTTTATATCATAAATTAAATACAAATTATTAATAAAGTCACGCTTAAACTCAATAAAACATAGTAAGATAATAATTAAATTACATATTTCAAATATGATATTTGACATTAAAAAATTAAAAAACAATAGTTTATATCACAAAAAACTCGACATAAAAATAATCAATTATAAAATAAAAGTAAAAACACAAACACATTACAGAGGGGGTAATCCGGCGCCAAAGCCTTGTCCGCCACCAAACAGACCTCCACCCCCTCCCAGAATAGTCGAGGCACCCTGGGCTAACGTATCGCTACCTTGTTTAAACAAATCAGTGATGGGGTTACCAGCATTAGCTGACCCTCTCTTACCCCCACCACCGCCCAGAACACCACCAAAAATGGACGAGGCACCCTGGCCCACTTTATCAACGCCCGACTGAAACATACCACCAAGATGACCCAATGGGTTGCCCAGAGGGTTGGCCAAGGGGTTGGTGGCGCCACCCACGGCTCCAGCACCTTGGTTAAACAGCGATGTGGCCCCTTGGCCCAGGGTGCCTGTGCCACGTTGAAACACGCTACCGATGCCGCCCAATGGGTTGCCACCGCCCAACAAGTCCTGTCCGCCCAATGGGTTAAACTGGTTGACTGGGAATTGACTATCAATGCCGCCACCATTACGACGACTACCGGCGCTGGGCTTAGGTTTTGCGCCAGTCTTACGCTTTTTGGGTTTTGAGGTGCGGTTTGGCGGACACCGGCTCTTGCCGTCGGCAGCGGTGCCGCACACGGACTTCAGCGGCGCTCCAATAACAGAGTCGCCGTACGCGCGGATCACACGACTCGTGTACGACTTGGACGGACACCTCTCCTGTTCCATAGCTATACGTAGGCCGGCGTTCAGTCCACTAATACACGCCCTGTATTTGCTATAACGGCTGTGCGGGTGAGAGTGAGTGAGAGTGTGAGTGAGTGAGTGTGTGTGTGTGTGAGTGAGTGAGAGAGAGAGAGAGAGAGAGACTTACCAACAAATATCAGTGTTACCACCGGAACCGCCGGACCCGCCCGTAAACCCCGAGAGTATATTACGGGGCAAATAGTTTTCCATACAATTGAATACACCGGCCGTAACGATGGCATCGCATTGGCCCACACCGGGTAGTTTGCCCAGTGATGGCAAACCCCCACCGCTCCCTCCAAATATATTTTGACATAATATACTGTTTTTACTCACAATAACAGTCAATAATGTGATTAAAAAACAATGTTTTACTGAATAAAACATTTTGGCAGATATTTGTTGCGATTAATGTTTGTATAAAATGATGATTAGTTTATTTATATACTAAATAACTATCTATGTAGTTGTGTTTTGACAAAAATCTATGTAATCCAGTAATAAATAGCTGGAAATAATAGTTGACAAAACGTATATTTCTAATAACAGGTTCACGATTTCAATGGTAATTATGCCCCAAAACGATATCCTTGTGATGTCAGTCCCCCATTATATACAGGATAAATGTCTCATTTATTTTACCATAATATTAGCTATTAAAAGCACTCGATCATGTTTTTCATATAAAACTAGATTTATTTTTCATAGGAATTTCCCTTTTAATATGAGTACAAATTAATGAAGTTTCGGACATAAAGTATATTAACGTCACTTTTCCATGAAATTTTACCATAAATTTATTATTTTGCTTTTAATAATTATTACATCTTCCCAATTAGTTTTAATTAACGTAATATTTTAATTAAAATTGTTATTTGCAAACATTAATTGCAAACAGTCTTTTGCAAACGGTAAATCTAATTTATAAAATAGTATTATACAATGCAAAACATAGTAATATAACAATTAAAAATAACAAAAACAATACATAAATATAAAAATGTTACAATACATAATTAATCATAATTAAAATAAAATTAGAAATATTAAACTGTAATTTAGTAAACTTATAAAAATATCACTAAATATACACATAATAGTGGCATGTACTTTACATTTACAAAAATATCAATATAAATCTATTGCATTAATTTCATGTCAAAAATACACCCAATATAACCAGAAAATTTACCCCGATTTCCTACGATTGGATGGACACCGACTCTTACCGTCGGCTGCGGTGCCGCACAACGACCGGAGCGGCGAACCGACCGCTTTGTCGCCGTACGCGCGGATCACACGACTCGTGTACGACTTCGCCGGACATCTCTCCCTCTCCATAGCTATTCGTAGACCGGCGTGTAGTCCACTAATACACGCCCTGTATTTGCTATAACGGCTGTGCGGGTGAGAGTGCGAGTGAGTGAGAGAGGGGGGGAGAGAGGGAGAGAG